CCTACTTTATAGTCTTCCTTTTTTGGGCCTGATTTCGGCTTTGCCAACTGCCTACATTACGAAAGAGAGCAGAAGAAAGGAGAACAGAATTGTATTAAAAGTATTGAACAGAAGTATTGAATCACACTGCATTGCACAGTTCCCCCTCAACACTGGGGAACTTTAATCTGGTGCTCCATGTCAYGCAAAGAAAAGCCTGTGGACCCCAGAGAGGATACAGATCCCAAGTCTGCTGTGTACCACATGCACACAGTTCCCTAAGGACAGACATTTTCTAACTTGCTCATCTTAATGTCTCAATAGGGCAGGTAGTATCTCAGTAACCCAAGTGGAGGAGAGATCGCAAAGGACCTGAAAAGAGATACATGCCTTTCATAGAAGCAGGAGACTTTTACTAAAAAGAGCAATTCTAGTCCTAAGACACTGGCACTGTCATTAACATATTCATATTCCCCTGTGGATTTTTAGCTGTAGATTTATCATGATGTGACTCACTGTGCATGCTTTCACTTTTCCTTTTCATTCTATGACTTAAATAGAGATTGAACCCCTAGAAAAACAATACCTTGAAAAGTGTCGATTGGCATTTTCACTTAATATTTCCATGCTTTTGTCAAAGCTAGAGTCTGAACAGGGCGGCATGYTTTTTCTTGTTGATCTTAAACAGTGTCCATTGAAGCATTCAATTTTGCCAGAGGAAAATTCCTAGGAAAAGAAGGAAGAATGTATATAGCTGAACCACTTATATTGCTTAATTTGGGCAAGTTTTGTCTGTTACACTCCTGACTCAATAGCRATGCAACTAAAGGCAAGTAAGCCTCAAACCACTTCTGTGCCAAGAGATAGCACTGATGAAAAAAAAAAAAAAAAATCACACTAGATTTCAAAGAAAAAAACCCAAATCTTTGATTTCAAACATGCTTCAGTGACCCCAGCAACCAAAATCTCACCTAAAATATGCAATTGTTCCATCCCTTGGGAAGGGCCTGAAGTTATTACTACAAAAGAAGGGGCTTGGGGCAAAAAACAAACAAAAATAGTAGAGAAAGGGGAAAGCCCCTCTTATTGCTTTGGATCAGTTGATGGATTGTGTCACTCCTGAAGGGACACCTTYAGGTGAGCTTTGTGCCTTCCAACAGTCTTGGAGCAGACCACTGAATATTTACTTAGATCTGCTGCTGATAGATCTCTGTCACTAAGCCTTCTGTAGCAGCACATATTAACACTCCGTAGTTGGGTGCATTTACCACCAGCAATTCAGAATCTGCTTTCCTGTCACTTCAATTACCCACACTACTCACAAATCCGGAYCCTGGAAATTCTTATTGATCTAGGCCAGACTGATAATGCTCAACTGGCTATAATCAGAAATCAGGCCCAGCTGTACCCAGCTCCTCTGATCTCTGAGKATCAGCTGGAACCCAAGGGGGGTCATCTTCTGCCAGATTTCTCTATTTTTAATGCAACAGAAAAATGCTTAGTAGTGGGATTAAAATCTTTTTAGGAGAGTTTTCCACCTGTCTCTTTTCCATTTATGGCAGTCAGAGGGATATAAAAGGACTTCCTTCAAGGGAATAGCATTTATCCACAGAAAACCAAATGGAGCTGAAGATACAGTTCTTCATGGATGTTTATCTTGTTCACACTGGGGTTTCTGCAAGGAGGATGCTATTGACTTTTATTGTGTGAGGAAAGTTGTGATGACAATGGGAAAGGGCTTGTTCCATTTACAAAGCAAGGTCTCATTCCAAGTAYACCAAACTAAATCTCACACTGAMAAGGGCAGAAAACAGAAATACTCTWCTTCTTCACACTAATGTTACCAAGAGGTAATTCCACTGATTGATGGACATAATGAGTGAAGAATGACTACGAGGATGTAAAGAGGTTATGACAGGAGGAAATCACCAGGGCCAAAGCCCAAACATAACTTAATCTGGCTAAAGCTGTAAAAGACAACACAAAGCATTTTTACAAATACATCATCAAGAAAAGGAAGACTAAAAAAAATCTCCACCCTTATACACAGCCAAAYATATGACAAAGGATGGGGAAAAGGCAGAGRTACTCTGCCTCARTCTTTAACCAGCAGTSCTCACAGTATCCAGACAGGGACAGAGAGCAGAATGAAGCACCCATATTCGRAGAGGAAATGGTCAGTCACCTGCTACACCACTTGGACACCCACAATTCTCCCAGCCCCAATGGGATCCACCCAAGGGTACAGAGGGAACTGGCAGAGGAGCTTGCCAAGTCACTTTYATAGAATTCTTGAGGGTAGAAAAAACGCCCAACATCAAGTCTAAGCTTTGAATGAGCATCACCTTGTGATGATCATTCARAACCAAAACCCTAGCACTAAGTGCCACATCCAGTTGTTTCCTGAACGCTTCCAAGAATGGTGATTTCACACTTCCCTGTGCAGCCTGTTCAAAGACCTAACCACCYTTTTTRTGAAAAATTTYTTCCTGGTGTCCAGCCTGAGCCTCCCCTGGTGTACCTGGAGGCTACGTCTTCCTGTCCTGTCACAGGTCACCTGAAGAAGAGGCTTATCCCCTACAACCTCCTTTCAGGTAGTTAAGGGAGTGAGTGACAAAGTCTTCCCTAATTCTCCTTTGCTCCAGGCTGAACACCCCCAGCTCTCTTATCTGCTYCTCATATGACTTACTTTCTACACCTTTCCCCAGCTCTGCTGTCTTTCTCAGGACACATTTCAGCACCTCAATGTCTTTTTTGTCATGAAGGGCCAGAATCGGAMACCGGATTCGAGGGGTGGCCTCACCATTGCTGAGCACAGCAGACAATCACTGCTCTGGTCCTGCKGGCCACACAGTTTCTGATACAGGTCTGGATGCCCACACAAAGGAAACTCAGGAGCACACTGCCCTCAAATGCAGATGACAAGAACAAACTTTTTCAGCTTGGAGAACTACACCAGGCTTATAAACATGGAGATACACAGTTTCCAAAGGGATAGCAGCCACTTTGGATCTCACTGCCAAACTACTCATGAAACTTAAAGGGACTGGAAACTTGGGAGTGAATAAACACAACAGATGTTGGTTTACCTTAAACCTCCTGCTCCATGCTCCTTACTGTTTATGGATGAAATGAACTGTATAATTAAAGATAAACCACCTCCTGATATCAGAAAAAAAGACAAAAGCTGCCACCACATCCTTGCACATCAACAAGATAGGAAAGAAGCAGAGCCCAGCATCCTATAAATGAGGTAATGACTCCTTGCCTCAAAGCACAGGAAAGGTCTACAAAAACAAAGAAAAAAACCAAAACCRAACCAAAGAATAACCATACAACCAGTTTCATAACAATGATTCTACTTCGATTTCAGGGATGAGTTTACATTTAGCTTCCTCATTCCTGTTTTCCACACTGAGAACACATGCCAGCAGTGTTATCTGCCTAACGCTGCACAGCCTCCCCTCTTGTGCAAAGGCTGAGCGCAGCCCCCACCAACCACTTCTTGTGGGGACTGCAAAAACAAAACAGTGATCTTTAWGCAGATTCCATGATTCTTTGTTGGAGGAGGAAAAAAACCCACCACACTAAGGATTCTTTTACTTCTTAATGAGTAGTCTTCAACATAAGGGCAAAAAATATAAAAATATAAAATTAATGCATACAACTGAGACTCTTAAAGATTTCTGAAGGAAGGAAACAGTCTATGAGAAGCATCACTCCAAGGTAGAGGTCCCCTGAAGAGTAGACTACTTCTTAGTTGGATCTGGTCTGCCTTTACTAGTCACAAAAACCCAGGACTGCATTTCCACACAGCCTGATTTCAAATATCAGAGAAAAGTTTTAGGTTTTGAAGGCTATGTTAAAAACAACAAACTTCTCTAAGTGAAATGATTCAGTTATTAAAATTGCAATGCTGAGACGCAGAGAGCATAGGCAACTTTACCATCATTCAACCTGTCTGTCTCTTTTCTAGTATGGAACACCAAAATTATAGAAAGCTTAAGTAACATTTTAATCAGTTTAGGTTATGTACATTAATTAAGTACATAAGTACATAAAATGAGTCCTGGTTTCTAAACCGAGTTTTGTTGTTAGAGCATCCAGAGTACTACTTGGATACTCTTGACTAAGGATATTTCACAGGCCCTTCGTGCCAACCAGAACGCCCTCAGAGGTCACATATGTTTCGCGTCAAGCGCCGGGTTTGATGCATTTCTGTCATCTAAACAGACAACTCTCTATAAGCCTTAGCGCAACTAAAGCAAAGAGGTCTCCAAGATATTTTTAAGACAACTTTTTCAGATAAGGAACTGAACCAAAATAAACGGGGATGGGGAAGGACATACAACACACCAAACCCTGCGGTGATGCAGGTTTGTATTTCCAGGGACCGGATCTCAGCTCGCTGCCACAGCCCCCAGATCAGGTCTTGTGCAGAGCCCCCTTTAGCCGCGGGACGACCGGGAACGGGGGCCAGGCCGGCTGCTTCTTCTGACACCCGCAGCGCTTACCCCAAACATTCGGTTCTCCCCTTTTTTTCTCCACGGAACACCGCTCCCCGGCTCTTTCTCAGCGCCTCCCAGCAGCTCCCGGCCAGCACCGGCTCCCCCCGCCGCCTCTCCGGGCCCACAGCCCAACGCCGCCCGCCAGGCCGTGCTCACCCCACCCCCACCCGGGCACTCACGGCCTCCTCGGCTCTCCTGGTCCCCCTGGATACCGCAGCCCTGGCGGACCCAGAGCGCGTCCATACGCGATGGCTCCTGAGCGCCGGGGCCTCCAGGGAGATRAACTCGGAGCTGGAGTCCAGGAGCTCGAAGGGGGGCCGGCGACAGCGACTGTCGCGGGGAGCCATGCGGGGCGGGCGGGCGGAGCTGCTCCGCAGGACCACCATGGCGAGGGGGGACCGGGACCCGGACCCGCGCCCGCTCGGCCGTGTGCTCCGYCCGGATCCCTCCGCCGCGCTCCCTCCCGCTCCGCCCTTCCCTGCRGCCGCTACTCCCGGCCCGCGCGGCGGAAGAACACGCGGCGCGCTGCGGCCCTCCACACACGTTTGGCGCCGAAAACTCGGAGCAGTGCGCCCGCCGGCGCGGGGCGGGGTTGGTTCGGCGGCTCCGCCTTGTCCCGCCCCGTCCGAGGGGTCCCCGCACCTATGGTCGCTGCTCCGGCCGTGACCCCGAAGTGCCCGAGCCAAGCTGGGATGGTCGCGGTTTCCTCGGGGACGGCGTAGCCGCTGCCCCCACCGGGCCCAGCGCTTCCTGCGCCACCCTCACCCCCGCTCAGACCGGCCATGGCGCGGCCGGAGACCGCCTATGAGGCGGCGGTGCCGCCCCGCCCCGCCTGCACCTACACCAGCTGCTACTGGTAAGGGGGACGGGGACTGGCGGGCAGGTGCCCCCCGCGCCACCGTAAGGCGCTGSGACAGCCGGAGCCACCGGCGACAATGGCGCGGCTGCGGGCTGATCGCATTCCTGCACTCGTTTCTCGTCACGAGAAATGAAGTTGGAGGAAAACCAAATAATTAATCGATTTTGTGTTTTGCAGCGAAGAAAATGTTTGGAAGCTTTGTGACTAYATCAGGAGTCAGGATCGGTACCCTTTAGAAGAATTTTATGCTGTTTTCATATCCAATGATAGGAGGATGGTGAGTCAGTGGGATGTGATGAGAGTCAGCTGTGGAGAGGCTCGGGCCTTCAGACTGCAGCCCAGTGTAGGTGAGACATGGTCCCGGCGATTTCAACCACAGTCCGGTGTTGGGGAGTGAGCCTGTAGCCCAGCCTGTAGGTGAGATGCAGTCCAAACCCATCTTGTACCTCACTTTGGCTCAGAGATGTGCCAACCACACCAYGTGAGATTTTTAAATTATCCACTGCATTCAGGACAGTGGGAAGAGGAATGGTGTCTATGTGAGCTGTGGGAGTAATTCTGTCTGCAATCTGTCAATTTAGGATAGTGGTAACCTTTATGAAATCATAGAGCCATTAGTAGACYTTTGAGACCATCAAGTTTAACTGTTAACCCAGCACTACTATGTTCACCACTAAACCATATCCCCAAGTCTTTTGGATATTTCTGGGAATGGTGATTCCACCACTTCTCTGGACAGCTTATTTTAATGTGGCCCAGAAAAGAATCTCCAATTTCATGCTCCTTAGAGAGAAACTAGAAAAAAATTTTTGTACTGCAACACAGATGTAAGYTGAGGAAGTTGATAGGTTAGCAAAGAACTAACCAATTTACCTGAAATTAATCTGTTTTAACCTGAAAGATTTTATTCACTTCAGTTTCACTTACAACTTTCAGATTCCTCTCTGGAAGCAGAAATCTGGACATGGAGATGAGCCTGTTGTCTGGGTAAGGCATTCATTACTCTCAGTAATTKTGAGTGCATGCCTCTGTAGTTGATAGCTGCAGGATCACACTTGGGAATGGAACAAACTGTTCAATCTGAACATATGGGAATACTTTTTTACTCTGAGGGTGGTGSAGCATTGAAGCAGGTTRCTCAGAGGGGTTGTGGAGTCTCCATCCTTGGAGATCTTTAGAAGCTGTTCAGATGCAGTTCTGGGCAGCTGGCTGTAGAAGTGCCTCCTTGAGCAACAGGTGGACCACATGACCTGAAGTCCATTTCAACTTTACCCACTGTATAGCTTTGCATTAATGTGTGTTATTCTTTTACAACAGATTTATAAAAAGCCTAAATCTGGTGCTCCTTTGCACCATCCATCATAAATTAAGAGCAAGACAGTAAAATCTACTGGTGACAAATCTTAATATTAGCAGGAATGCATAACAGATTTGTGAAAATTATTATCTGGGTGTTGAGGGTGGTGGATCTGTAGAATTGTAGGTTGATAACTGTGTAAGAAGTAGATGGATTAAAATATTTATGTAGGCCTGCCAGATGATAGAAAAATATAAACTAAATATGTATTCAGATAYCAGCAGCTAAACTGACCCATATACAGGAGCATTTGATCAATTAATGTAGKTCAGTAAGTGCTGCTACAGAATTCCTTGGTATCATTATAGAATCCTCTCAGTTTATCTGGCACAGAAAAAACTGTTTCCTATGGCAGTTTCTGAAATTCTGCGAAGTAATCTGCAAACTCCTGAAGTTTTCTGATTTCTGAATCATTCACTGTCTTTGAAAATATTGTAGCTTTACAGTACAAAATAAAAGGTTTGGTTTAAAAAGAGATCCAAGTGTTATAGAGTTGACCTAAGAAGGAATAGCAGAGTCAGGAAAGGCCATGGCAGACTGGGGATTTCTCATAAGAATTCATGGATTGAATTGGATTTAACGTTGACATTTCAGTGGATCATAGGTTGTGTAAAGTTTGTAAGGTAATTTTTCTTATGTTCAGTAACAAGTTTTTCTAAATACTGTTTGTATGTGTATATTGGTCTGGTGAAGTAGTTTGCCCAAATCTATTTCATTSAAATGTCTTTGTGGTTTTAACATTGAAAGTATCAGAAGAGAGTGCTCAACCCTTTTTGTGAGTGGATTCAATGTAAATTTAAGGAAGTTGTTAAGGTCTGCCTTCAGTTTAATTTTGGAAAACAGCAGTGTACATACCTACCTGACACCTRTCATAAGTAACTGCAGGGTCCCCAAACCTCCACCTGTGTTTCTTACAGGTTAAGGAGTAAAACTGCACTGCATAACTCAAATGTCTTGATAAAACAGTTGCGTTGAAAAAGTGTCATATAGTTCCTACAGATATTTTTTCCCAGCTTCAAGAGCTGATACAGGAAATTTTCTTACTCCTGTGGTCCTCATGATCTGAGCTGTTCAGTTTTTTCAGTGGTGTGCTGGTTTTTCAGGTGCTTCTGGCAACTGGACACTCAAATTCACAGTGTTACTGCAACAGGTACAAAATCTCTTATTAGAAGAGATCATCAGGTAGCTTTAATATCAATCTATCATCGTAACTTCTGAGTTTTTATTTATGACTGGGTCTAGGAAAAAAGTGCTTAACTGAATAAATTTTGTAGTTTGGTGTGGAACATGTTTTCTTAGGAGTAGCATACCCTTTAGTTTAACTGTCGAGGTTTAAATCAAAGAAAGCTGCAAAGAAATTGGGAGAATACCAAGGTTTCTGGAAGAGCACAATGGGCAAGATAGGCATTAGGAAGTCTCTCTCCTGGCACCAGAAATGTTACAGGTTTAATATTCAAGGATAGAAAGCGGGCTTTAAAAAAYGGATCTGAACATGCGCTTTTAGAAATATTTTTTTCCCCACTGTTTGTCAGTTTCTCATTAAATGCTGTTTAACTAATGGTAATTACCCTTCTTCCCAGGACTACCATGTTATTCTACTTCATGTTTCCAGYGGGGAGCAGAACTTCATTTATGATCTTGACACAGTGTTGTCATTTCCCTGTCCTTTTGATATGTACAGTGTGGAGGCCTTCAGGTTGGAYGACAGCCTTCGTCCAGAGTTTCACAGGTGATGACATAAAGTATAAAGACTAYTTCAAAGTTGAAGTTTTCTTTGTGTATGCATAGTGACAGGTTTCTTTGCTATACTCCARTAAAATTAATGCACTGTGTTATTTTTCTAAAGCTCTTTACCTTAGTCATCAAAAGCCCTTTCCTACTGCAGCTTCTTGTTAACAACTTGTCCCTACATTGCTGGTTTGTGTATTTAATTAGTGCTCCTTGATGAGAGGAAAGTACTTTTGTTCTGGGTGATTAATGCGGTATTGTCTACATGCATCTTTTGGTACAATTTTGCATTTTTATTTAGAAAAATCAGAATGGTTCGAGCAGATTTGTACTTGAAGACATTTGCTTCAGACAGATCTCACATGAAGGATGCAAATGGAAAATGGCAGAARCCTCCTCCTCCATACCCTTGCATTGAAACTGCAGGTAAGCTCCCAGAACTCCTTCTTCCTGCTTAAAGTGCTGAATGAGATAGTCCAAGATGCACATGGGAAATAAATAACTTCTATAACATTTGTCCAGCTRGCTTACTACTTCATATGGGAAAAAATAGGGCTATGAAGCATTTGGTACTCTCTTTTTTGAACGTGTAGTCAGTCTAACCTGCCTTCTGACATTTACTGTTATCAAACAATAATTACTAATCTTCATAAACTGAGCAGAGAGTGAGAGGTAAGTAATTCTCCTCTGTTATTATAGCAGAGGACTGAAGCAAATAGGACAAATAATTTGCATAGGAGTCACGAAGTTTCTAACATGCTGATTATACTACACTCTAGTGCGCAGATCTAACGCCGGCAAAGTAGTGTTGGCCAGAGGAAATTTTCAGGCTCTGTTCAGTGTGGTGGGTTTGCCTGCATGAAATGTTCGAGGTTTCTCTACCAGGTGAACGGACCCCAGGRTGTTTTAAGTTGGCAAGTTTTTCCCTAAACCTTAAACCTCTTTTAAGTGATAGCCTAGCTAACAGCCTCTGGGCCAGGCAAAAAAAAAGAGAGGTAAAGACTTGCCATCTATTCTATAGAGCTGCTTAAAGCATTCTTATCACACAGCACTTCAGCTTATTCTAATCATGTGTTTTGCAAGCTGGTTAACATTTGCCATGTGTTTGTTTGTTCTCTCATTTTCTTCCAAGGAAAGCATGGTGAAGTTTTCTTTGAGTTTGAAAGAATTTTCATCTTACTGCTCTGCATGTTTGGTTTTGTGATTTTTAATAATACTGTACTGCTGTGTGTTTATGTTAGAGAAGGCAGGGTTAAAGAAACATTTTGTCTTTAGGTCCAAGTGTAATGTGGTTTTAAGTTGCTGGRAAATTAATTCTCAGTCTTTGCTTTGGCTTCTAAGGAAGTTTGGTGTTTCACATGAGAGTAGAAATGAATTATGAGAGTGAGCAGGAACACAGATGTGTTCTTTGTTATGAATCTTTAGGTGTTTTTTAGACAATCCAGGTTATGAAGCACCTTGAATTCTGACTCTTGGTTATTATCTTCAGCAGAGTTTTATGCAAAAGTACTGTAGGGAGTGTGGAATTCCTAAACTAGTGGRTGGTTCTCTGTTAGCTGGAGTCTCTTAGGTGCTGAGAACTTTTTTGCCCCGATAAACCTTGTTGTTTTGATAGCTGAGAGCTAATGAAAGTGTGAAGAATAGAAATGAAGTCAGACCAGGAAAGCAAATAGAAATTCACTCAAATCAAAAGAGTAAGAACCATTACTTGTGGGTAGTAAGTTACGGAATGACTCAAACAGTTGCACATGTGTACATGTATCTCTAGCTGGAGTAAATGACTSCATAGCAGCAAACCCTGTTCCCCTTACCTGTCTTATTTGGCTGAGCTTTACCTCACTGCTGAGCTTTACCTTACTTCAGGCCTCAGCTAGTCTCAATTGTCTCTGTGATGCAGGTAGATAGTGAAAGATACATAGCTCTTCCTCTTATGCTTTCACTGTTTGCTTTATACTGTTCCATGCTGAATGAAATGTCCTTGGGTCATCCAGTCCAACATGTACCCAAAACAGGGATTCCTCAGGGTTCTGTGCAGTGGTGATTCCACCACCTTTCTGGACAGTGTTCCARTATTTCACAACTGTCATGGTAAACAAAACAGGAATTAAAAATCCTAATRTATAATATGAATTTCTCATGTTCCAACTTGCCTTTTTTCACTTCGTGTCCTGTTGCCAGGCTCCTTCAAGAAGATTCTGGCTCCATTGTCCTAGTGTTCTCTGCTCAATTAGATGTAGGCAGCAGTAATGTCTCYCCTTCATCTTCTTTTTTAAGACTGAACAGACCTAGTTCTCTAASCCTCTCCTTGAACAGAATTTTGCCCTGCACCAAACAATTTGACTTTCTTCTTCTGAGTTCACTCCAGAATGTCCATATTTTGGGGTTTTTTTTTGTGCTGAGGAGCGTCAAATGGACACAATATTCCAGCTCTGTGCTGATATGCTTGGTCTCCTGGTTAGTTCACTGAAGGAAAATTGTTACCTTGCACCCACTGAAGGTGAAAAGTCATTCACTAGGGAGCTTCAAGTTCTGAGTCAGAACACAACTAGATTGTCTCAGATCTAGGACATTTAGTTCAAATTGTCTTTCATTTAGTACCAGTTCTTCCAGSTTTATTTTTTGTCTYCCCTTTKTATTCACCTGAGGTACTTTATAATGATGCATGCTTCAATGTGCACAGTGCTGAGAGTCTGTGAGGAGTCTAGGTTTAACTGTAATGTCTCAACACAGTTTCATCAGGCATAAAGCTGCCTCATTTTTAACTTGATGGGAAACTGGGTGGCAGACCTTTTGTTATCATGAAAGAGCCTGGGGTGTTAATATTCGTGTCCATGCCAAATCCCATTGCAGATAACTGTTTTCTCCGTGCCGTTTCACTTAGATAGAACGTTTTGCCTTGCGTGTTAATTTGTGTTTGCATAAGATTAAATTACTTGCATATTTCATGTTGGAGGTGACTGTTATGTAATGGCTGACAGAATTGACCACTTATTATTTTAATAACAATTTATTTGTGAGGCACATTTCTATCAGASTGGGTTTGTTTTGKTTTTTTKKTTTTTTTTTTTTTTTTTTKTTTTTTTTTTTTTTTTGCTTTCATTTAGAGCAGCTGAATTCCTAAGCTTTTGAGAAGATGCAAGGTTTTTAGATTCCTTCTGTTTCCTATATGACTTCTTTGATGTTTGTGGCAGTTCGACCATGCCTGGATGCCAGGTGCCCACTAAAGCTGCTCAGTCACTCTCACCCTTCTCTCAGAGGAGAGAAAATATAATGRAAGCTTGTGAGTTGAGATGAGGACAGGGAGAGATCACTCACCGATTACTGTCATAGGCAAAACAAACTCAACTTGGGGAAATTAGTTGAACTTATTACCAGTCAAAATCAGAACAAGATAATGAGGAGCAAAACAAATCCTAAAACCACCTTTCTTTCACCCCTCCCTCCTTACCAGTCTTAACTTTATTCCCAGTTCTCTACCTTCTCCCTCCTGCTTAGCGGGGAATGGAGGTTGCAGTCATCACAGGTTGTTTCTGCCACTGCTCAGGGAGAGGAGTCCTTCCCCTGCTCCAGTGTGAGGCTCCTCATGTGGAAGACAGTTCTTCACAGACTTCTCCAGTATGAGTTCATCCCATGGGCTGCATATCWTCATGAACTGCTCCACTGTGGGTCCATTTCCACAGGGTGCAATCTTTTAGCAACAGGCTGCTCCAGCATGGAAATCCTGTGGGGTTACAAGTCCTGCCATCAAACCTGCTCCAGCGTGACTCCTCTCTCCATTGGTCTGCAGGTCCCTGCCAGCAGACTGTTCCAGCTTGGGCTTCCCATGGGGTCACAGYCCCCTTTTGGGCATCCACCTGCTCCAGCATGGGGCTCCTACACGGGCTGCAGGGRCACAGCTGCYTCACCATGATCTTCACCACAGGCTGCAGAGGAATCTCTGCTCTGGTGCCTGCAGCACCTTCTGCCCCTTATTMTTCTCTGACCTTGGTGTTTGAAGAGTCATTTCTCCCATATACTCTCATTCCTCTCTGGCCACAATTCTGTGCAATAGCTTTTTTTTTCCTTTCCTAAAGGAAGAGATGCTCTACCATCGCTGATGGGCTCAGTWTTTGTCAGAGGTGGGTCCATCCTGGAGCTGGCTGGCAGTGGCTCTGTCAGACATAAGGGAAGCTTCTAGAGAAGTCACCCCTGCTACCAAAACCATTTGGAATYGAATTGAGGAATCTATCAGTAAAAAATGATGCATTTTTCTCCTCCTAGTAAATCAAAGGGAATAAATCTTAAACTGTATTTGTCCTGTTCATGGGCTTGCAAAATAAACCATCTAAAAATAAGCTTACGTGGAAGCATAAATTCCAGTCTATGCTTTAAAAAATTGAAGCTGGAACAAAGTGATTTTTAAAATAATTTTTCTAAAAGACAAACAACTCCAACCAATAAAACAACAACTAAAAAAACCCTCTCAAGCCTGCTGTATATCCTCAGAACTCACATGCTACACATTAGCCTCTTGGAAGTGGCTCTGCTCTAGCTGCTTCCCAGAGTTAGGCCTCTGTTTTCCATTGGCATTGCTCTGGCCTCTGTTCTGCTCTGCTGTCATGCATGCCAGGAGAACCTGACCAACCTAACTGGCTGCACAGTGCTTTCTCACCCTGCCCTGACTTCAAAGCAATGCTGCTGGAATAGACATACCTGAGTTGCAGCAGATTCCCCTGGTCCCACCTGTTTGCCAGTGACAMCCTGTTTTCTTTCAACATGAGATTTTTTTTCAAATAATAAAAACTAAGAAAATGARATTTGATGAACAGATTCCTTATTCTAGAGCTGCTAAGCCCAACCTGGGGTTTTCTTTTAAATCTTATTTCTACAAATTAATGAGGTCTGATTTTGCTTAGTTTATGACTCGGGATGAGATCAGCCCTCCTTACTGCAAGCCTGTGTAAAATACAGCTTGCACAGTGCATTTCAAAATTACTCAGAACAGATGGTTATATGGCTTATGTACAAGTGTTAGCAGCAGCTCTAACCAAAAAGCACTGGTTTGAATTTCAGTTCTCCCAAGGTGTTTGGTAGCACACTTATTGGATTGATTTGTGAAAACTTTTTGTTCTTTTTATTAYTGAAATCCCTGGTAGTCAATAATGATGGGGTTTTACTTGTTTTTTTTTATTTTTTTTTTAATTTTGAAGAGCATGAGTAGAACAGCTGAGAAATTCTGGAGACACTGTATCAAATATTTATGTAAGGGAAATCTGCTAAACACAGGCCAGGCAGATGTCTGCAGTTGCTTTCTGTATCTCCTCTCCGAAGTGATGGTAGTGAAAGTGAAGACACTGATAGGGATACCAGTAGTTCCTGTGCACTTCATGGGAACCTTCTGCTCCTCTCATTTGAGAATAAGACTCTGGTGTTGCAGGTTAGGTCCT